TAACAATGTAAAGATATGTATGCATAGGATCAAAGACTGGAATGCCATAGAGAAACATAAAAAATAGAGGTAGTTTTTTAATCTTAGTATTATCATATTTTCACAGCCAAAATCAGGGAATCATCAGAAGCGCTGAAAGGCGGGGTTGCGGAGAGCCTGCAAAGCATTTGGTGGCACCAGCTCAAACCATTTCAGGCTGTGATCTCGGCAGCTTATCCCAATGTGCCGGGTCATCTGAGAAGACTCAGGCACCACCTACTGAAGAGTCTGCTTCTCAACTCTCTGTTGGTTTTTACCGATTGCGAGTGGTGGTGGGTTGGGGATGTAACCAAGAGGCATCTGTTTGCTGACTTTGGGCTAAGCAGAGAAAAAAGCATTATGTTCTCAAACCCCAACATCCTTACCAACAATTCTTTGAACCGCCCCAAAGGTCTCCTGAATGGAAACACAGTCTTTCAAACAAGGGCCTATGACAGTGAAGAATGCCACCAACCTCAGGTCAGGATCTGGGGAGCTCGGTCAAAGCACAAGTGCCTTGCCTCGCTTCTCCCAGCCCTGACTGTGCCTCCAGCTCTCCAGGCGCAACCCAGGCACCGGCATGCTGCAGATGCTCCCTGGGCAATTCTGATGCAGACGCCTGAGAAAAACCAGACCATCCGTGGCACAGAGCACCTAGCTGAAGCTCCCCTCCAGGCCCCCTCCCGTGTAAACACAATTGTGCAGGGCACATAAAAGAGGAGTCTAGAGAAACTGAAATATAAACAGAATCGGCCAAAAACTACAGCCTTAGAAAGGAAAATTATTTAATATCGACTCGTATACATCCAATAGTTTCTGTCAGTACATCAGAATCACCTGAGAAAACTTTTTTAAAAGTACTGCCCCGTGGCTGGGCGTGGTGGCTCACGCCTGTAATCCTAGCTCTCTGGGAGGCCGAGGCGGGCGGATTGTTTGAACTCAGGAGTTCGAAACCAGCCTGAGCAAGAGCGAGACCCCGTCTCTACTAAAAATAGAAAGAAATTAATCAGACAACTAAAAATATATAGAAAAAATTAGCCGGGCATGGTGGCGCATGCCTGTAGTCCCAGCTACTTGGGAGGCTGAGGCAGAAGGATTGCTTGAGCCCGGGAGTTTGAGGTTGCTGTGAGCCAGGCTGACGCCACGGCACTCACTCTAGCCCGGGCAACAAAAGCGAGACTCTGTCTCAAAAAAAAAAAAAAAAAAAAAAAGTACTGCCCCGTGGCCCCCACGCTAGCATCTCCAGGGGTGGGGCACCCAGCGGTTCTACAGCATCAGCCTGTGGGCTGGAAGCTCGGCTTTCGTCTGTGCTCATTGCCAAGAAGTACAGGCTGTGAGGTTCGAGGTTTGCAACTTAAACAATAACCGCTGGCAAATGGAAACGAGAGCCCGGGGAACGGGTTTAAGTCAAATGATAAATGCTAACCTTAGTACTGCCAGTGAGGAGAGACAATACTTCTTTGCAAGTGTGACCTCTCACTCAGGATGCAACCTGATCTATGTCCCACAGCCTGAGCAGGCAGTGCTGGCCACTGCTGGGGAAAGAGGCCAGAGTCGGGGACATTTTTTGTTTTACTTTCTCGGGGTTGGCAAATGCCTGGCACGAATGCTGTTGGTCCTCCCGCCCCATGCCCAAGACAGACATCTTGAAGGGCCTGTGGCAGACCTTCCCAGCCAACCCAAACAGAACCTCAATCTCCCCCTGAACAGACTCCCCAGAGATCCGAGCTGGCTGGTGAGGTGAAATCCACATGCCCTCCCTGTCCAAACATGGAGAGCTTAGAAACTGGGCCTCTCTGCACACCATGGCCACCACACCAACCTCCAAGGCAATCCAGAGACTCCTGAGGAAATAATGTGCCTCCAAACCAGAGCAAATTCCTTCCCTCTCAATGATGCACCCCAAGTTTTGGGGCAAATGAGCAAAGCTTTTAACTCACATCATAAGGTCCACATCAACCCTATCAATCTGAGCTACCCAGGAGACAAGGCCCTGCAGGGGGTGAACTTCCTCCACAGAATCCCCCAGACACCTCAGTCTGAATTCATTATTCCCTTCACACTTGGCTAGGTCCTATTTGTGCCCATGTCCACTAACAGACTGCAAATTCTCTGCCGGAAATTCCTGAAGCCAGCCCTGGTTCCACGCACTCCTGCCGTGGAAGCAAAGATGAAGCGACCGGACTTGACCTCATACATGTGTCAACTAGGAAGTGAATCAACAACACCTAGGTGACAAGGACTGGGGACAAGCGCCCTGATCTTGATCACCCTGAAGGGGAAAGGTGTACGTGAAATGTTTGGCCTTCTGGGCACTCTGGCTGTCTTGGCTGCACAGCCTGGACTAGGTAAGTGGCAGGCAGGTGCTCACCAGGAACATTTATCACTCAAACACTGAATGTGTGTTAGTTCTATTAAGTCTTTATTTGGCTTCTGCAGCTCCCAGGCCTGCAAGCAGCAATATATTTTAAGAAAGCACTAAACCCCACAATCAAGAGCCATACCGTAATGGAAACTCTGGTAGCGCAAAATTAAAAAGAAAAAATAATGTACGTTTTCTAAGACCTGCATACCACTTACATGAATGAATAAGAACCAACAGAACATTTACTTCTCAGCAGTGGCTCATCTATCCTGTGTGACACGAAAGGATATGAAAGCCAGGGAACATCAACTGAGAAGCCAGCCTCCGCACCCAGTGTGCACAGAAGAAGGCGGGATAAACGTGTGGGAAGGGAAAATACAGTTTAAAAAATGGTTAAGACATCAAAGATTGAGCTGAGGCCTTGGGCCAAATCAAAGAAAGCAGGATCCTGAGTGCTACTGCCCAGCTCCAGAAAAGGTAGAAAAGGCTTGGTAGGAAGTTCCCACTGAGCATCAAAGACACTAGTTAGGACAAATCCAGAGCTAATGCAAGGCTTGTGATTCTCAAGATGAGAGAATAAAGGAGATGGGATGTCTAGGAGTCGCCCACTCTCACTCCCACAAGTTTAAAAGAGCGTTATAACTAACAGGCTGTAACCTCAGTAAAAGGCGTCTAGCCTGGGTATAATTCCTAAATTCTAACTCATTTTCTATGTTTTTCTAACTTTATTCTGATCATCTACCATCAAACCATTACTAAGACAAGTAATCCTAAAGGTCTTTTTCTTTCCTCAAGGGAATATATTACAATTTCAGTCCATCGACAAAGATCAGCAGTAAGTAACAAAATACAGTGACTGGCAGTTCTAAAATGTTCTCAATATGATTCTCAATCCTGAGCATTTTATTTTCTTTTAACATCCCCCAATCCAAAGAGCACCAAAGGAGATGTAATACAAACATTTCAATGTGGATATCTGCAGTTTAACAGCTTTAATAACTACGGCTATAAAATTTTAAGAGCTATCATGTTTTGGTGGCAATTAAGAGTTATTGATATTTCTAAAATTCATTTGAGATTTTACTGTAACTTTAGCAAAATATTGGCTTATGATATGGCTTTGGAAATAATAAATTGTTTTACAATCTTAACATTATTAAGAAAAACTTATTGCCATGAAATTAAACTAAACCCACATTTAAAATTCAATCAAAATAAATTGCTCTTGATCAAAATGATATATTTGAAATACATTTGATATTGACCCAATTTAATGGGAAGAATATATATTGCTCCATTTATAATCAATATGTTGAGATTAACACTTTTATTAATTCTCTACAGTAGTTAAGACAAAGACTGACACTGCTCACTTTTCAGGAGTATTGAGTGACATTCCTCAAATAACTTCACAGATACTAAGTATGCACAGGGATTAAAGTTTCAGTGCGAAATGACAAATATAAGCCACTCCTCAACTATGTACTACTACACAGTTGTAGTAGCTACTAGTGCTACTAGAATGTGAGTTTAACAGCACTAACGAACTGGATTTACGTCACAGGGCCTCAAAGTATTTTTTAAAAGAACTCTGCTGCCTGGCAGTCTGGACATGGCCATGAGCAGTTCTTAAACAAGAGAATAAAAATATCAGGTCAACCTTCATTCATGTAGGCCAGTGGAAAGCTACAATAAATACCACAAAACAGATCTCCACACCTTGAGAAATAAGAAAAAACTGTTGAGGATTGAGAAAAAGCCATCCCGCGATTAAATATTTACCAAGCAATGCGATTCCTCCTTCCCTGTGACCCCTGAGAGCTCCCGCTGCGCTGGCACAGACTTGAGTGGCAGCAGCGCCACGGTGCTCGGCGGGACACCGTGGGAGGCCCAGGCCTGCAGTGCACAGGTCGCTTTTCCTGGCTCTCAGACACAGGTGCTGACACACAATCTTGACTTCCCATTTCACACACTCACCTTCCCTTTTATCCCACTTCATCCTATACTGACAAAGTCACGGAGATAAAAGCCAAAGTCGGTCTCTAGCATTAAAAATGACAGTGAAAAGAAAGGCATGCCAAAGGACACTTCTGGCAGACAGCGATTTACAATTACGTGGATAACTATTTTTTAAACACAAGGAAGGAAGGTTTAAGAAAGTGAGCTTAAGCTTCAGCTCTTTTTTTGAAGGAAAGTTCTCTAAAATTACTTTCCTACTTCAAAAGGAAAAGCAAAAACTCCTACCCAGTACACAGGACGTATCTTACTCTTTTCTTTTTCCTGACACTCCAGGGGGACACTTAACTCTGGGTGTGAAAGCCACACACCTCATGCTCGGTCCTCTGCATGCATCTTGCCCAGCCTCCCCTTGCGCTTTTCACCTCACATTTGCCTCCATATCCGCGTAAAGACCTAGCCGTACAAGCACTTGGGGCCGGCTCCATTAAGGACCCAGGGTCCTCGCTGGTTCTAGCAGGCTAAGGCTACAGGAAGTCCAACCTCTGCCTGAACGGGGGTCTAACATACTAAGCTGGATCTAGACTGCTTAAGTATTAACAAGCTTGTTGCCTCAAATAAAGGAAGCAGTGCGATCTGTTTACAATCCCTGCAGACTGACCTTAACCGCTGCTTATAATAATCTTCATCTCCATCGTCTCGGCATCTCGCCACTTTCCAACCCGCTCCTCCTCCTCCTGTGGCTTCAGCTTCTTCCCCAGAACTTGGGAAAAAGTCATCATCAATCTCCTGCACTGAGACTTTCTTCTGCCGTTTCTGGCCCTTGAGCACAGGCCTCAGCTCATAGTCGGTGCCATCTCTGGACAGGTCCGCCTCTGCCCAATCCGCCTCGTCGTCACCCTCCTCCTCGGTGGGGAAGTACTCGGACTCTTCACTCTCAGAGTCCCCCTCTGCCTTTGGCCTCACATCTGACTCCCACGGTTTCTTTCCCCTTGGCAATCCCACTTTCCCCTGGAACTGCAGAGCCCTCTTCTGGAGTTTCTTGATGTGCTTTTTCAAGCGCTTATCTGTTTTAGAAAGAACCTTGGTTTTCTTGTTTGGTTTGTTGTCGGTTTGTGTTGGGTTCAACTCAGGCGTGACTGAAGTTGGAGCTTTTCTAGCTGCTCTTTTATTAGAAGCTTGCTTCTTCCTTTCAAAAGACAGCTTTGCTTGATCTGCCAAATATTTTTCAAAGCCTGACTCTTCATTGAGCATTATTTTTCTAGGCTTTTTCTCCTGTTTCTGAGGGATCTGGGTACCAAAAGGTGTCATCTGGCCAGTGCGGATGAGCTCTTCCCAGGCAGTCTCCTGGACAGGCATGAGCATGCTGCCAAGACAGGACGGCCCCGCTTCTGAAAGAGTAGTGACAATGCATTTGTCACTAGCATAAACTTTCCAAGAGTACAACGGAAATATTCACTTATTCGATAAACAGTAGGCACCTATAAATAACTTGTTAAAAACACAACATCGATGTACTAAAGCATATTATATGTAAAGGATAGAGTAAAATTTACTATAGCATTAATCATGCCATGTTTAATATTTTCCTATTCAAAAAGGTGATTTTTCAGTAACTTTTCTCCAAAATATCACACTATAAATATACTCTGTGCATCTAAGGACAGACCTATTACTATATAAATCACAGTTATAAATGGATACATTTAGCTGTGTTTCCTTATCAACTGAGGAGTAGCCCATGTGGAAGCATCTCCCAAGTTTCCATGTCATTGCTAATACCAACATTCAGGTGGACTTTAATTCAAGAGATAATAAAACTGAAAACAGACATCTAAGGGATCAAAATGTACCCAAACAGGAAAAACATAAATATTAGCTCTATACTGCCAAACGTGGTAGTTACCAGTCACCTATGGCTATTTAAATTTAAATTAAATTAAGTTAAAAACTCAGTTCCACATTTACACTTGGCCATATTTCAAGCGCTCAATAGCTACCCATGACGAAAGGCTACCACGACACAGATGAAGAACACTTCCATCACTGCAAAAAGGTCTACTGGACAGCACCGTGTTAGATACGTGAAGTTAACCGACTTGAAGAGATAGAACTAAAATTGGAAGTTATGCCACAGTAAGTGTAAAGCTACCCAGAAATCATCCCCCTTTCAATAGCTGGAATTAACCTCTGGCAAGATTACTTTACCATGTAGCTGATACGCCAACAGATCTAATACTTAACAGGAAGGAATCCATATTCTAAAATATACAATTCTTACAGGCCAATGATACTACAGCCAGTATTTCATTAAGCCCGCATTGAAATAAAATATACATCAGAAAGTGCACCAATCTTAAGTGTATAGCTCAATGCATACTCAGACAAAAACTCATAAACTAGCACCCAGATCAAGTGACGGAAATTACTAGCACCTCCAGACGTGCCCCTCGGGCTACCTCCCAGTCTCTACCCGCCCCCAAGGTAAGGATGGACCTGACTCCTGATACCGTAGATGAGTTGTACCGGGCTCAGAACTCGATGTAAATGGAAATGTCAGTGCTCGTGTCCACCTTCTTTTGCTCAACATCATGCTTGTGAGCTACATACTTATTGTTGAATGCAGTTGCAGTTTGTAAATTCTCACTACTGTTGGTATACTACTATATGACTATACTACAATTTTTCCATTATCACTGTTAATGGACATTTGGGTGACTTCCAGGTTTTGGCTACTAAGAATAATGTTGCTATGAACATTCTGGTACACATCCTTTGGTAATACACATGTATAATTCTTTGGTTATGTTAAGCTTTAGCAGACACTACCAAACAGTTTTCCAAAGTGGTACCAAAGTGACACCAAAGTTCCACCAACAGTGTTTGAGAGTTCCAACTGGTCCATGTTCTTGCCATTCCAATTTAGCTATTAAGATAGGTAGGTGTATATTGGTACCATATTGTGCCTGTAATTTGCATTTCCCTGATGACTAATGAAATATCATGCCTTTTGCAGATTTATCAGTTTTTTGGACAGCCTCTTTTGTGCAAAAAATGTCAAGTCCTTTGCCCATTTTTCTCTTAGTCCGCCTTTTTAAAAAAAAAAAAAAGATTTCTAGTTTTTTATACATTCTGGATTTGAGTCCTTTGATTCATACATGTATTGCAAATACCTTCTCCCACTCTGAAGCTTGCCTTTTCACTCTCTAAATGATACCTTTTGACAAACAGAAGTTCTTAGTTTAGGCTGGGCACAGTGGCTCACGCCTGTAATCCTAGCACTCCGGGAGGCCGAGGCAGGAGGAGTGCTTGAGCTCAGGAGTTCGAGACCAGCCTGAGCAAGAGCGAGACCGCATCTCTACAAAAAATAGAAAAATGAGCTGGGCGTGGTGTACATGACTGCAGTCCCAGCTATTTGGGAGACTGAGACAGGAGTATCACTTCAGCCCAGGAGTTTGAGGTTGCTGTGAGCTAGGCTAATGCCATGGCACTCTACCCAGAGTGACAGAGCGAGACTCAAAAAGAAGTTCTTAGTTTTAACATAGCCCATTTAACAAATCTTTTCCTTTACAGTGAGCATTTTGTGTCCTATGTAAGTCTTTGCCTATACCAAGATCATGAAAATGTTTTCCCCGTTATATTCTAAAAGCCTTGTTTTACTATTCATATTTAGATCTATAATCCCTAATCTATTTTTGTACATAGTGTAATGGGTCGAGAATAATTTTATTTTCATATGGACTAACCCAGCACCATTTATTGAAAAGATCACTCTTCTCCACAGCACTGCCTGCCACCTTTGTAATGAATCAAGTGACATATATGAGTGGATGGGTTTAGTTGCTGGACCTTCTATTCTGCCCATTGGTCTATGTGTCTATCCTTGTGCCAATATCACACTGTCTTAATTACTATAGTTTTAAAATAGGTCTTGATATTTTATTCTTCTTCAATATTGCCTTGGCTATCCTTGGCCCAATGCATCTTTATACTAATTTCAGAGTCAGCTTGTTAATGGCCCCGCCCCATCCTTACCCTACACTGTCTATCCTATGCCTTTCCCCTCAAAAAAAAAAAAAAACCTGAAATTTATTAAGGGTTGTACTGAAACTGTAGCTGGATAGGAGAACTGACACGTTGATAACACTGGATCTTCCAATCCGTGACCACAATGTATCTCGCATTTATTTAAATCTTCTTTAATTTTTCAATAACATTTTATAGTTATTAATATAGAAAACATTGTAGAAAACTACATTTTTTGCTAAGATTTATCTTCAGGTATTTGATTTTGATTGTAATTGGCATCTCTATTTTTTTTTCCTGGCATATAGAAATATGACTGAGTTCTATATATTGACCTTGTAGTCAATGATATTGCTAAATTCACCCAGGAATTCCAACAGATTGTCCAGATTCTTTTGGATTTTCTACATAAACAATCATGTATTCTGTGAATAATGATGGTTTTATTTGTTCTTTTCAATCCTTATGCTTTTTATTTCTTTTCTTCAGTTACTACAGTTATTACACTGTCCAGTACAATGCTGAATAGGAATGGTGATGGTGAGTACCCTCACCTTCTCCCAGATCGTAGTGGCAAAGCCAAAGTTTTGTTTTGTTTGTAATTTTCCTCATCCCACCTACTTCCGAGAAAGGATTCTTTGTTAGGTAATCCTCACCACAACCTTATAAAATGGATCGCCAAGTGGAGACCAGGGGAAAGGAAACCTCAGGAAAGCATGAGAGGAGAAGTGGAGGCTGCTGCACTTATGCCTATTGCTTGGGTTCAAACAGAAAGGCAGGGAACATAGCCAAGGTCCTTACCTAGGCAATGCAGAGATAGACCCACAAAGCCTGGGCTCTTAGGCACTCTGCTCGACTGCCTCCCAGACAGGACAGAGGAGGGAGGGCAGTAAGAGAGCCCAGGAGTTTAAAGTGTTGGCCGGTGCCCAGATGGAGAGATATAGCAGGAACCAGGAGCTCATTAAGAGGGCAAGGCCAGAAGTGTACAGATTTGTAAGACACTAGAAGCTAGGTGGCTGCCAAAGCCAGGGGATTAGATTATTCGGGAGTGGTGGGGTGGGGGGTGTAGTAGAACAAGAAGAGGGCTCAACAAGAAATCCTGAGAAACATTAGCATTTAGGATAAGGCTAAGAAAGCTAGCCAGAAATAACTAAACAGAAGTAGTCAGAGAAAGGAAAACCAGGGGACAGACAGGAATCTCAAAAGGCACAGGAAGCATCAGCTGTTGAAGACAGGCCAAATGGAGCAAGGGTGAAAAGGGGCTTTTGGATTTGCGGAGGTGAACTATTAACCCTGGGCAAAGTTTTACTGACGTAGCAGCAAGAGGTGAAAGACAGCAGCAGGTCTGCAGTAGCCAGACAGGAACAGACATCTGCTACCAATGAGAAATACGGCACCGCAGCAGCAGAAAGCCCTGTCATAGGCCTAATGAATTCTGAGAATGAACTTTAAAAGCACATACTTCTCTATCACCTCAATTAATTCTTCACAACAATTCTCTTGTTTTACGGAATACACTTCTGGAGCTAGTAGAAAATAATTGCTTGTAGAGCTTAAATATTAAGAAGGCTTAATCTACATTTCAAGTAGGAAATGACTGAGCAGCTACCAACGATTTCTAAACACACACGTGTGTGCATGCACACACACAACACGACGACTGCAAAGATATTTAGTTCTAGAGCTTATGCAATTTCCCAAAAGGTTTTCCAAAAGACAACCATCCAAGGCAGTAATGTAAATGAAATCATGGCCACAGTATAACCTGAATGAAGATGTCTTTTCTTAAACAACAGAACAACAGAACTGATGCTTGGAAAGCCTGCCAAATACAGTCCTTAAAGATATGTGAGAGCAATTTTGCGAATGTGTGTTGATGCTAGGCTTCCAACGTGTAATTTAATCATATTAGTTATCTTTATCAAATTAACTATTTAAGAATGTTTAAGATTTCAAACTTATTAAATGTTATAATAAATGTGCACCAGCAGCCTCCAGTGAACTGAGTTAAATTTTTTTTTTTGAGTTAAAAATTTTTATAAAGAGGAATGATTCTGCAAGTATAGTGAATAAAATTTTCCTAAATCTTTTTTTATACTAAGGCAAAAAACGTATTTTTCTCAAAACCCAGGCAAAGACTAAAGAGACCCTCCAGCGACCACAGGCATCGGGCATCAATTCAAGAACACAGAGAAACGGCCCACAGCATCCTCACCTGCATCCTCCTCCTCCAGACTGGCATGGTCTAGTTCAACTTTTACCTCTGCTCCTCCAAGGATGGCCTGGAGACGTTTTTGTTTTGCAGTGATCTTTTTTAGCTGTTGTTCCTTAAATGGTAAATATTGAATACAGAAAATAGCAATGACATGATTGTTAAATAAAAAAGAGAGCATTACAAAATTTTAAAACATTAGGCAAAAGTAAAATAAAAATAAACCAGAAATTCCATACACTGCTATTACTAGAGAGAACCTTATTTGAGCAACTACCACTTTTCTAGCAAAAAGTGGGCCTCAGCGTTCCCAGCAGGCAGCCTTGCCCACACACATTCCTGACTGAGCAGCAGACAGCTTTCCCTGTGCCCAAGCACTTAAGTACCGGCACACTGACTTGGGAGATAGAACTGTTCTACTTGGTGTTCCCCATTACACACTGGGTAAATCACTAAACCTCTCTGTGTTTCTGTCCTTAGTAGCCAATAGGCTATCGAGGTCAACAGGCCCTAAGGGTAAGAAATAAAAACACAAATGATCAGTCGAAAAAGTCAGTCCCCGCTGACAACTACCATATTTATGACTGTCTTTTACAGTATTCTACTGATCACAAAACTTTAAAAGAAAAATATATTTTTCTATGCTCTTTAACCTGCCCACCCCAGACTCCTCTTTCTCCTGTTACCTTCAACATCACCAGAACTGGGATACATGGCCTTCCTGGGGCCTCCCCAATGAACTGGGCCTGTGGTACCTGGTTCATCTTCCCAAGGTCAAGAATATTTCAACTCCAAATATGAGCATGGAGTGAGGTGAAATCCTGGACATAAACACCAACTGTAACAGCTTGCAATTTCTTTTTTTCTCAGTCTTTCTCTCAACAAAATCCTATTTAAAACACTTTCCCTCTGAATAGTCTATCTCTAAACATCAAGGAGCTGCTAAAGAAAGACAAGAATATACAACTTAGAGTAGAACCCAAAATGGCCTAAAGTTTGGTCCTCTCTGCCCTTGAAATCCTAGCCCACCAGATGCCCAAGAAGGGCAGAGAAGGCCTCTCTGCACATCAACTTCGAGGCTTCCACAAAAGGTCAAATGTCCCCTCTCTGATTTGATTTAGGGGGACCCTGCTGCCCCAAGTTACTGCTACCTCTGACCTTTGGGCTCCTATTCCAAAGGTGAATGAGAAGATAATAGACTGGTGAGTGGAAAAGTAAAAGGAAGGCCACATGAACTGAGTCTGTGCACACCCCCACGAGAGCCTAAAGAAAAGATCAATGACTCCATTTGCTGCAGGAAATCAACTATAAGCACCAGGACACTGTTAGTCACTTTGGGATGGCAGAACTGAATGATCAAAAGTAGTCATTCCTATCCACTGCAATGTATTTTTTTATAAAGGGTTATATAAACCCTAAAAAATGTTTCAACCTCACAAAGCTGTGCAAAAATCCTAAAAAAAATGTTTCAAACCTCATAAAAATAACATCCTAAGTAACAGATATCCCCTACCCTTAAGTTCTCCAACCCTAAGCACAGCCCCAGTGTGTCTGAGTGCTGACTGTAACACCGAGCGGGAAGGCCCAGCCTCTCCGAACAGCGAGCAGGAGTGTGTGAGGGGTGATGGCTGCATCAGCAGGAAACAGAGGGGAGACAACTAGAGCAAGCAGGGGCTGAGCAGCAAAGAGTTCATACAAGACCAGGAGACTGAGCGAGAGGCCAGCGTGCCCTACAGGAGCTGGGTGAAAGCAATGGTGAAGCAAGGATGACTATGGAGTGCACAGAGTGAGGAGGTAAGCAACACCAGAAAAGAACTTATTCTCAAATATACAGACAGTCCTCACTTTACAATGGTTTGACTTGTGATTTTTCAGCTTTATAATGGATTTAGCGGGACACAACTCCGTCATATACTGAGGAGCCTCTGGACTTAACGACGGTTTTGCTTACGATTTTTTAACTTTAAGATGGGCTTATCAGGGTATTAAATGCATCTTCTACTTAACAGTGTTTTCAACTTACGATGCATCTATCAAGACATAGCATCATCATAAGTTGAGAAGCATCTGTATATATATGGATGCATGTATCAGTGAATGGATGGATGGATGGATGTGTCTACATATCTGTGTGTTGTTAAAAATGCTATAAAATAGAAGACATTAAAGGGAAACAGCTGAAAGATTAAACATAAAAAAGCAACCCAAAATTTCTCTATTGCAATTATAAATATTTGCTTCGCATCTTGTATGTACTTTTTAGAATATTTCCTAAACTATTAAATGGGCCTAAATGATGACTTTTACAAAAATGCAATATTTGTCATTTTGAATCACCTTATTATACTTCTGTCGTTTTACAGAATCTAGTTTCCTGTTGACGTCTCTGTTGGTGGCAGCCTGAGGGCTAAGTTGTTCAATAATTTTATTGATTTGCCTTAGGGATGTCATACATGACCTGAAAAATAAGACAAATTATCCATTTTTCAACTCTGGTAACATTTTAATAACATAACATAGACAGAAATGCTAAAAACATGTCCCTTTTACTTATTAACTAAAAGAAACTAAACCAGAATGCACATACTTACCGGCCACAAATAGAACTTGAAGGGTCATTAGAGGTTTGAAATGGCTGCTAGTGGTTTTTTTTTTAATCTGGCTGATTTAAATCAGCTCATTTTCATTTGTAAGCTGATTCACTTACTCTACAAGCATTTTTTAAGTATCTACTTTATTCAAAACACTGTGCTAGAACAATGTGCAGTAAGTTGTACTTTTATATGAAGAAATGCGTACATGGGTTTTTAAAGCCCATTACGGAAGCCTTCCGAAGTTTCGAAAAGTCCTAAAAATGCTTAAGCATTTTCTTACACAGATCGTATATCTGTAGCAATATTTTTCTTTCACAGAACTGGAAGATTCATTTACTGTAGCATTAAACTTTGTGCTGCAAAGAAAAAAAAATCAATTTAAAATAAATTACTCCTAAAACAGACACCACAGAATTATAGCTTTCAATTTTCAGAACACAAATTCAATCTTCTCGAACCTTGTATAATTTGCTGTTTGTAACCTTTGTGGCTTTCAGGATAAACAATTCAAGTTACTAGCCATCAAAGGCACCATATACTACCAGCCATCTAGCAGCACCCTCCTGGGTGCCTGGAGACTCCACAGCACTCTCCTCTGTCACCTCTGTAGGAAGTGGCCACATCTCCAAGTTCAAATGTAAAAGGTGTGTTATTACAAGTTGAGGTCCTCAACACTCAAGGTCGGACTACAACTATGCACACTACAACTATGCAAAAGCACCTGCTACTGAAGAGACCAAAAGAACACACCAGGGAACTGTTAGCAGAAAACATGTTCTCTAAGTGCCAATAGCCTCCGGCCTCCCAGCGGCCCCCTGTGACACTGCTCCACCCTCCACTCAGTCCAGTTCTTACCTTCTCTTTCTCACTTGCCTGACCCTGCCTAGAACACTGTCTGATGGGGGGCCGATTAGCAATGATGAGCAAGCTCAACCCTCCCCCTCTCCCCTACCCTCCCCTTTGCTCCCCCAACCCTGGCCCAGGTCCAGCACCTCCCCTCTTCCCCACCAATGCGCTATGCTCAAAATAGCTCAAGTCCATCTTGCCTCTAAAACACAAATGAAGTCTCCACAGGACTTCATATTTCCTTATAGAGTCAAAAGTAGGACAGAAGAAAGGAAAACCAGGAAGCGCTTTCTCATTATTTCCAGAAGTGCAAATCTGAAAAATTGCCAAGGACTGAACACTCAGTTTGGGGACAACAAACCGGAAAGAAACTACAGAGAAAAAGGTGAGGGAGCGGGATGCATTCCTGGTATAATGAGCGAGAAACACCTGAGTTATAGGTGCACTTCTCCTGAGACCAGTTAGTGCACATACCGGTGAGTCCTACAGCACTTAGAATAGCCCTCTCTCTAGGACATTATGCAAGAAACAGGCTTTTGTGAGCTGGACTAGGACCATGACTTCTGTGTACAACGCTGCTCCTGAGGGCAAGAGCTAGGGCTCCAGGATGAGGTTGAGGCCTGCACTTATTGACGCTGTCCTCCAAATAAGAGGTTCTATGACTCTCCAAAATTTCAGGAATACTAGAGCTCTTTATTACCTGAATTTCCCTGTCACGTTTAAATACAAATTCTGAAGATGGGCCACACTCACGTGAGGTCATCCATGACTGACTGATACTCCTTCTCTGCGTCAGCAAGCTGGGCCACACGGCTGGCCTCATGGATTGCATTGTCCACCTGCTGAAGCACACACTGCTCTAGCACGTCCTGGTCATAGACATCCACGCCCAAACCCTGCAGTTCGGGGGCCTGCGCACTAGGCTCCACTGCCTGGATCTGATGTCTGTCGATGTGCAGCAGGGCCTGCGCCCTCCTTGGAGCTGCTGATGCACACCCCTCAGCAGAGGCGGATGGCCCATCGTCAGGGGAGCGAGAGGGGAGGCATTCCTCCACTCTCGCATCACCACCAATTTCTTGCTTGGTTGCCATTTCTTCATTATTATTGACATGTTGACTCTGTAAACAATCTTGCTCCTGAGTTTGACTTGAGTAGGGGATTCTCTCATTTGGCATCCTCTACAGACTATCTAAAAGGAAAAAAAAAATTGATATGCCTGATTATCAACTGGTTATACAGAATTGATTGTATACAGTTTCTTAAATATTTTATAATTAAAGTAGACTGATTTCTTAAAAGATCAATGTCCTTCCAATTAAATGAATTCAAGTTTCCAAATATTAACTTCTTAAAAACGCACAAACTATATATTTTATTGAGTTCTGGTAATAACTAAGAAAAATTAACCAGAAAAGGAAGAAATGCAGTATCGTCAACAAAGAACATTTGGGCAGCCAGCTAAGAAAGCCAGCAACCAAAATACTGAGTAATGCCCAAGAATGTTCTCCAAAACAGCTGAAGTCATTTGGCTGCCGTTTTCCAAATTAGCATCTTCATTCCATTATGGCACAAATGACTTATATCCCAGTAGCATGATCAACTGTAATGCATAGAATCAGAGATGTGAGGAAGTAGCTTCTGTATGAATCAGAGACTAGAAACTTCTAGGCTGAATATCAGTCCAGTAAACAGGAGCTCTGAACAAATAAGAATCTCGGAAAGATTAATTAAAATGTTCTCAAAAATAACTCCCTTTCAATTCACAATATAATTTCTCACCCATCAGGTTGGCAAGAAAGTAAAGTTTGGTAATATCCAATATTGACAAGGAGGAGGAGCCATGCTCATATATTGTCGGTGGAAACAAATTAGTAAAGCCCTTTTGGAGGACAATTTAGCAATATCTATCAAAATTTTAAATGCACCTGACCTTCGCCCAGAAATTCTAGTTCTAGGTATTTATTCCAGAGAAATACTCACACATATATACGAAGATGCTTACTGCAGTATATTTTTAATAGTTTAATGTAGTCATTAAGTATTTTCTGTGCTACTGATATAAAAACCATGTTAAGTAAAAAAAGTCATGGACATAGCATGAACACATTTATGATGAAAGAGAAGTGTATCCCCATCTGTGTGTATGGAGTGAACACAAAAAGATCTGGAAGGACACACGCTAAACCTGCAACAGTTGGGAGGGGAAGGAGAAGGGGAAATTTCACGTTACTCCACATAGGAACTGATGCTTGAAGGGGAAAATTTTCACTATATTACCTGTATAAACAACTATAACATCTAATAAATACATTAAAAAGCAACACAATAACCAGGAGTCAGCCTTGCTTTTTAAATCAACTGTGAAGAAACTAAGGTTTCTTTCAACACAGAAGCTTTATTTCTGTGAAATGGCCACAAGATCCCCCAACAAGCCTCACTCCTTCCTCATCAAATAAAACAATCCCACCAGCACAGCACTGGGATTCAAAGAATTGAGCATTAACTGCCCCCAGAGACTCACTCTCTACTGGAGAAGTGTGTCAGTAACAACACAGCAGGGCAGGGCAGCCAGTGGTGACATGGACAAGAGGCCACATGAACACAGAGGAGGCAACAATCATTGTGTCTAGGGCCTAAGAAACATCATATAGGAATTAAGATTTGAATACCTGGCTTGCAATCTGATACACAGAGGTGCTTATTATCCGCTGAAAGGAAGTAAGGCTCAGAGAGGAGTCGAAAATAATAAAAAGTCTGGTCTGGACAGCTGAGTCGCCAGTGAATTCAGTCACAAAAATGAGGCTCTCAAAAAGGCAGGCGAGGCCGGGCAAGGTGGCTCACGCCTATAATCCTAGCACTCCGGGAGGCCAAGGCAGGTGGATAGCTCAAGGTCAGGAGTTCGAGACCAGCCTGAGCAAGAACGAGACCCCCGTCTCTACTAAAAATAGAAAGAAATTATCTGGACAACTAAAAATATATATATAGAAAAAAGTAGCCGGGCGTGGTGGTGCATGCCTGTAGGTAGTCCCAGCTACTCGGGAGGCTGAGGCAGAAGGATCGCTTGAGCCCAGGGGTTTGAGGTTGCTGTGAGCTAGGCTAATGCCACGGCACTCTAGCTCAGGCAACAGAGCGAGACTCTGTCTCAAAAAAAAAAAAAAAAAAAGGCAGGCAGGCAATGGGAAGCAGGGAGAGGGGCTGGAGAGGCACTTACATCACCAGTGTGCTGGGCAGCATGCAGTCAGAAATGCAAATCTGAGCTCAAGGCAAGTATGGGCACATGTGGCTACATCCGCAGAGCAAGCAGCTCCCAAGTTCCCAAGGCCACCAGGTGCCAGAGATCGTTTTAGAGGGTATGAAGAGGCTAACACTGGGAAGGTTAAAAGTGAACAACACAGTGAGAAAGTTCCTCCTCTTTGGGCCCTCTGACTTTTTTCAAGGGAAAGGCTCAGCTTGCTGCTCAGCTCCCTTTCCAACAGAGGAGGCAGGATTCTGGCTCAGAGTCTTTGCATTAGCTGGAAATGTTTTCACTTTCTTATTTGTATGCATACGGGGATTTGAAGGTAAGGAAAAAAAAGATGTCAATTCAACCAAAAATATTAGGTAATAGTATTATTGTAGTACAGAAAAGGTTAAAAAGAATCAAGTTTGGGGAAAACTGCTGGTAACAATAAAGAAGGAAGAAAGAATGGTTTACAGCAGGTGATACAGCAAGTTCACGTAAGGAAATCAGAAAGGGTCCAGTGAATTTGGACACCAACAGGTCACTGGTTATCTTAGAAGTTGTTTAGGTGGAGCAATGGGGACAAAACCAAGACCGTAGTGGGTTATGAAATGAGCAAATGAGGAAATGGAGGCCACAAGGGAGTGGCCTATCCTTTAATGAGCTTGGCTATGGAAGGAGACAGCCAGAGTGATAAAGTAATAATGAGATGGAAGTAGGGCAAAAAAACTAGAGAATGTAATGGCTAGAGGGAGAGGAGGGAAATAACCCTCACAGAAAGTTGCACAAGACGACACAGAGCAGGGAAAGGTCCAGAGCAGAAATGAACAGAAGGCTCAACACATGTTTCTCTCTAGCAGGATGACTCCTGATGGACCTAAATCTGTAGATGCAGAGGAGGGAAGCTGAAGTGGACTATAGAGAAAATATCTCATAAGGTAGGAAGTCTGGGCAACTCCTGGTCGGGGGGCAAAGTTAGGATACAGGCTGGAGAAGAGTGAGGAGTCTAGAATAAATGTCCTATAGACGGCAAAAAGGAGTTGTTGATGGGGAACAAACACTGATGATGGGTGTGGAGGACCAACCTGAGGTTGCCCCCCAAAACCATGGATTCACAACAATCCCAAGGCCATACAGTTTTCTCCTCCAGTAATTTCCTGGAGTAAATGTCATTATATGGGGTTTTCAGAGAAGTGGTAGAACAAAAGGTCATGGCGTCAAGATGCTGAGGAGAAAAGCCATTGAAGTAACTGGCCTTGGGGTCCACACTGGGTAGGTTTAAAAAAAAAAAAAAAA